ACTAAGTCACCAATTCAAGCATATGCTTGAATGTGTTCGCACATGTTCACACCTGTTGAATGGCATGGAACTGGAAACTTACTTACTGTGCTCCAATAAACACAAAGATTCAAATACCCTTCCCGCTTTTTTTGTTACAACGCATACATTATATCAAAGTAGGGAAACTTGTCCGAGTCTCCCAAGTGTGAGATTCATACTCACCCTATGCAGCCGGAATGATACGTGCCTCAGGCCCTCGTCCATGTTTGGGAATTTTTTTTTTTTTTTTTATATCCACCCCTTTTTGGCTACAAAAGACCAATTCAATTGGCCCCCACTCCCCGCAGCAAAGCGATGTTTTGCCGATTATGCAACGAAAATATCATTTTAACTAACTAACTACTGTTATTCCTTCAAGCCCGCTGCAGGTTCTACCACTGTCGTTATTTTGAACTGAACTTTCTGTGGAAGCGAGCTCTTCTAAGCAATCCCCTCCCCCCTCCCAACGCCCGGTAAGAAACTGCCAACCTTCCGAGCCCCCTATTGTATGGGAGAGGCCAGGAGATGATGGAAGAAACTGTGTCACACTCCGTTTTTGTAGGGATATTGTTGTACAGGGGAATCTCTCTCTCTCTCTCTCTTTTTATTTATTTATTTATTTTTTCCCTTACAAAAATGCACAAAGGATGGCCAGGCCAGGCCAGGCCAGTTTTAGAACAAGGGGGTTGGAGTGTTTGTTGCTTTGGTGAATAGCACTCGGTCCGATGAGAGCTGCAAAGATTACCATGGTGTATCAAGATTGAGATTGAATATTCTTTCTACTCCATCATCATCATCTTCTTCTTCTTCCTCCTCTTCTTTATGCAGATGTACAGCGCTGAACAATAACATACATACAGGACAGTAGATTGCTGAGGCGATTTCTCCACCACCACCACCACCACCACCACATATAATGTTTTAGTATCATTTATTATATTCCTCCAGCATTTTATCAGCGATAAATAGTAGCAAAAGAATGCTGCTTCGAAGGAAGAATGGGGATGTGAATAGTGATACACCGTTCTATTTTCTATATACTTTCTTCCCCTCTGTTTCTTTCTCTATCATACTTCCAGAGAAGACGAACTTGTAATCTGTAGTAGATCGGGCATCAAGAAATATTCAGATCCAACAACGAGTCGATGGCTTTATCGATACAGCTAGCCTCTGAGCAAAACCATGAATAACTCATATCAAAATTTGTCACAGGAATGGTATTGAAAGATGCCATGTCCCAACATATTGAGCAGTTGAATCTGGTTTTAGATTTTGAACTCCGTGGGTGTCCTCGAAAATAAGTGTTTGCTCCCTCGCTATGAGGCCGCCGACGCCAACCTTTGAGATGTGAGCAGCTTATGCTTCTGGGGATCAATGCTTCTTGTAGCAAAATCCAAGCGAAATAGGGATACGCAAGCCTGTGTGCTTATGCATGACCCGGTCCCCCCCGTCTTCACTTTGCAGGCCATTTCCCACGCTTTCTTATCTGGGATAAAATACCTGGATGCAGATGTCAATCTCTGGACAAGGACTATCCGGGTTAACACCTCAACTGACACTGAGGGTTGATTGAATAATTTCCAAGTTCGTGTCGAGAGAGGCATGACAAATGAATTCCGTAAATAAATTCCACCTAACCTAGGAACTCGGACTCCGAGGTTTGCGCTTACTCGAAAGTGCCGAACATGGAACCACATCGCTGTTTCCAGCCAGCCAAGTGCCGACTCGATGAATCTTTTGCCTGCCAGTAAGCACTCTTCCTCTTCCCACTGGCCATCATGGGCGACAGGGAATTGGGGCCAATGCAGCTAAAAAAGGGCCATATCCAGGATGTTCGAATTGGATAGCGGGGGACGACGGAGGCGTTGGTGAGAGCGTATTGCCCTTGTAAATCTCCAATGCCACATTTGCACACGGCCCAATGGGATGAAGTTACATTTAAAGCCAGCCAGTTCATCATTGACTATGGATTACAGAGCAAGCAAGAGAAAGAAACTGAAGGGAGAGGAAAAAGAAAACTAAAGAGGCAAAGGGAGAGAAAAGGACATTTCCTTATCATTCAACGCTGGCGAGCAAGCAGCCCCGGAATAACGCTCAGTCGAACACGGGAGTCAAGGTCGCGGGGAAACGACATTGCTACAAGACATCTGTGCAGCTATCCAAGGCGGGCAATGAGAACGAACCGGCAACCCTCAGCGCAAGAGTAAATTGATTTACACGCAGCGTTTATGAAATGGCCTGGCTCCAATTCGGCTCAACTGTTAAAGAGAATGCATTACATCAAACCCACAGAACAGAACAAGACCGAGAACGTCCCGTTGCGCGATCGACGGTATGGATATAAGTTTTCGTCGATTGAAAAAAAAAAAAAAAAAAAAAAAAGGGGGGGG